AAAAAAAAAAAAAAAAAAAAAAAAAAAAAAAAATATATATATATATATATATATATATATATATATATATATATATATATCACTCAAGTAGTAGTGATTTTGTGTGGTGCAGTAGAGCTACTCCTAGAGATATTTTTCAAAAAATTACTCAAGTAAATGTAACTAGTTACACCCTTCCTATGGTGTTATTTTTATTTTACTCTAAAAAAGAAAGCGAAAGGAAATTTAAAGTTTTTATCATTTAGTTTAATCTTTTGTGCATTAAAATTGCAAAGACTTGAATAAAAAACCTGATAATATGAGTTTACTTTAAAATATGTTCTACTTAAAACATATTGACTCTGCAAACTTACGTAAATACCATAATCTTCATGTCAAAGTATTTAAATGAATCCCCAGAGCCTTGAATTTCCAAGGCCTGTAGGATCATTTTTCAATTCAGCATGAAAGTTCAGTTTTCATTAGTCGATTATGCATTAATTACGTTGTGCATTTATATTTCACGTCTCAAACCTTTTTCAGTAATGCCGTTTTACTGTGCAGAAGTCCATTAATCCATTTAGAGGTAATTTACATCAATTATGTAAAAAATAATGGGGCAAAAATATTGCGAAGAAGAGCAAATTGGCATGATTCTCTGCTGCAGGTTTTCACCGGTGTTTTGATGCCAAGGCCTCTTGCTCTCTTGGAAGCTAACGCTAATCTGCTTTTCTGGCCTTACTTTTTCTCTCTGTATCCCCGTACCAGGGCATCTGATCTTGGTAATGAATAAAGAGCTTTAAAAAACAAGCTGGAATTTAAATTATGCAATAGGCTTTGGGGCGTTAAATATGTTCATATTATGATTTTGGAAGAACTCCTCTGGACAAATAGTGGAGTTTATCTCAAAACATTAGACTTATAGTGACTGGAAAAACCACAAGGGTGTGTTTGAAACGTTTTCGTGAGCTGTCTGTTTTTGCTTAATTTTGTCATTAGTGCAAGCACACGTGGGTTTGGCATGTGCTTACGATTAAGCAGTCGCGCAGCATGCCGTAAGCAGTCGGTGTGTTCTTATGTGGTAGATCTGTTGAAGTGTGTTCATAGCTGGGGGTAA